ATGAAGAAAAAAGTTTTTGAGTTAAATAGTAATAAAAAAAATGAAAATTAAATAATTAAAAGAAAACTAAATTCTAAGTTAATTTTAATTAAGAAAAATAAAATAATTATTAAACCTAAGACTAAATATTTAATTATTTAAAAGAGAAATTAATTTGTTAAAAGAAAATGTTTTTAATGTTTTTTGTTTCATAAGAAAATAAAATAGATAAATGTAAATAGTAAATAAAATATTTTTTGGATTTTTTATTAATAAAAATAATAATAATAATAATATTAAAGAAGAAAAGAAATAAAGAAATAAAAAAAATAAGAAAAAAGAATATAATAAAAGAAATTGGGCTAGGGGTGCTGAAGTAAATCAAGGTTAGTAAAAGAAAAAAAACAATAGGCCCAATTGGAAGCCCAGGCGCTGCAAAAAAATAAAAATGTCAAAAAACAGTGAAAAAAATGCAAAAGGTCACACTGGGGCTTGAACCCAGGACCTAAGGGTGACATGCGCGCGCTTTAACCACTGGGGTGGTGATACATCCGTTAACTTGTATGAAATGATAAATACATAACATAAACGCGCCCTGACTGTACTTCATCTTCAACCTCCAACCAAAGGATCTGTAACTTGCTCATTTCTCAACCATTTGCAAAAATGTAAACGTGAAAAATTGCTCCATTTTCCACACGAATCCAACCATATAAATATCATAAGCTATAAATCAAAGATGAATGAGAATTTTAAAAGTACCAAATTCTGACCTAAATATTTCAGAAAGTTCAAACTCAAAATTCTCCTAGCTCAATCAAAATAAATGAAATCTATGGACATGTATGGTTTCAGGGCAATGATGTCTACATTTTATCTTCACAAATGCAAGCCTAACAATGACTAAATATGGAGATAGAAGTTCAAGCAAAATACCTCAAAACTGGAAATCGTGAAATGGATTTGAGCTTGTTTCAGGCAATGGTGATGATCAGGCTAGCTTCCTCAAGTCCCCAGGAAGCTAATGCAATGATTAGCTTGAGCAATAGATGGCTAGAATAGTCTGGAGAAGTCAAGTTGCAGACCTCTGTTTTTGGTTATGGAGGATGATGAAGATGGAGTTACAGTTTCAAACCAAGGACATGGATGGACTATATTTGATGTAAGGAAGCTTTAGAAATGAATTTGAGGGAAAACGCACGAGGGAAATAAAAGATACAAGTTCAAGGGCAGAATTGTGTACCAATGGTGTTTTTGAGCAATTTCTGGTTTGTGAGTGTTTGAGGGAGTTTCAGGGTCTTATGATTCGTGTTCTAGCTCACAAATAGTGACTCTATTTATAAGAAACAAGTTTGGAGACTTGTCCTTGATCAGAATTCAAAAATCATATGTTATGGCTCTCTTTCTTGTTTTTGAAGCAAGCTTGACACACATTGTCCCAATGCATAGTACAAGGCTGTCTATAGTGGTTGCAAACTTAAAACATGTTTATCTGACTTTGTATGTTGAGTGTGTGATGAACAAACAAGTTAGAGGCTCAAGAAGAGTGGACTTTGTGCATAAAGCCACTTTTCCAAAATGGCAATGTTGCCTTTCTTCCTAAAATGGTATTAAGCATGGGCAATGCATTGAATGCTTGGATTAAAGCTTCTAGCAGCTGTAAAAAACATTAATTATGTAGTGAATTGCAAGTTTGAGGCCTGCAAAGTGAAGATTATGCAGCATGGCTATGGATTTGGTTCATTGTGCATCACAAATTTTGCCTTGCAAAACAACTTGAAACCCCAACTTCTGACCTTCGATTCTCCTTGATCACAAATTATCTCAAGGATTTCTTGGACATTTTGGAAAGCTTGTAATGTGGTATACAACCCCTCTTTGAATCACTTTTGAAAATTCCCCTTGGAACAAGGTGAAACTTGGGTCATAAGTTAGGTCAAATCCTGACCAAAACTAGGGTAAAATTTCACTAAGTGTTTAATTTCAAGACCATGACTTTATGAATTAATAACTTGATATCTAAGAACTTTTAGAAGAAGTTATGTATAGAAATGTTGTAGATATCATGGATATATACAACTTTCATGTTGAAAGTTTCTTTTGAATCATCTTGCATCATGGTGAAAAATTGGCTCAAAAATGTGAAAAAACATGAAGTTTTAAACACTTGGAAAAATTTCTATGTTAGAAAACTTTGACTTTTCAAAATGAAATCTTGACTTTTTGATTTCTTGATGAATAAGTTTCATATTTTAACATGTTTTGATGAATTGTGACCTTTGACATTGGATTTTGACCAAAAAGTCAAAGTTTGACTTTTCAGTATACATTTGACTTTTGATTAGTTGACTGAAAATTCACTATCAATCCAATTGATCTTGAGCAATGTTTTGGGTCATGCCATTAGGTAAAAATTATGCAATTGAACTCTTTAGATCATGCTTCAAACCAATTAACCATTTTCTAGGTCAAAAATCAGAAATTGCCCTTTTTCACTCAAAACCCTAATTTTGACCATTTTGCCCTTTTGATGATTTGATCAAATTTCTTGAGGAATTATGGTCCAAACTTGATCAAATGATACATATGAGTTTATAATTTTGCTATGGATCAAAAATTATGAAGTTTGACTATAAATTGGCCACAGTTGACTTTTTCCTCAATACAACTGATTTTTAGGTCAACTGCTCAATTGACTGAGAAAAAAATGTGATCCAAGGCTTGAAATTTGACATGAGTAATATTGGGGTCCATAATGATCCATGAAAGTCATATGAAGCATTGAAAGTTCAATTATCCTTGTGCAATCTTAAACCTTAATTTTGGTCATAAGTGCTTAAGGAGGTGTCTTGAGTTGATCAACCCTATTGCAGTCTTGAACTAAGAGAGATCTTTTGTGAGAAAATATTTGATAAGTGAGAGGGCAAATTTTGGGGTACAAAAGCAACCATATGGGAAATGAATCTGGAAATGTAATTCAGACGCCCAAGGAAACCTCTAACTTGTTTTTCAGTCCTTGGCACAGGCATTTCCTGAATTACTTTGACTTTATCAGGGTCAACTTGAATTCCTTTTTGGATGACAATGAAACCTAAAAATTTCCCTGATCAGACACTGAAGGTGCATTTATTTAGATTCAAGCGGAGATGATACCTCCTCAAACATTGAAACAACTTCAGCAAATCTTCTACATGCCCTTCTTTGGTCTGTGATTTGGCAATCATATCATCAACATATACCTCAATTTCCTTGTGAATTAGATCATGGAATAGGGTTGTCATAGCCCTTTGGTACGTTGCACCAGCGTTCTTCAACCTTAAGGGCATCACTCTGTAACAGAATATTCCCCAGGGTGTGATAAACGTTGTTTTTTCCATGTCCTCAAGAGCCATTCTTATTTGATTATATTCGGAAAATCCATCCATGAACGAGAATAATTTGAATTTTGTTGTACTATCAACCAACATATCAATATGTGGTAATGGAAAATCATATTTTCGACTAGCTTTATTTAGATCTTTGTAATCAACGCACATGCAAACTTTTCTGCCTTTCTTTGGTACAAGGACAATATTGGCAATCCACTGAGGGTACACTGATGTCGCAAGAAAATCGGCATTAATCTGCTTTAATACTTCTTCTTTAATTTTTACTGCCATATCTGGGTGAGTTCTTTGCAATTTCTGCTTGACCGGCAGGCACTCTGGCTTCAGCGGCAAATGATGCTCCACAATATGAGTATCCAAACCAGGCATATCTTGATATGACCAAGCAAAGATGTCCATATACTCTTTTAACAATTCAGTCAACCTGTTCTTCATGTCGGGATGTAGCAATGCTCCAATCTTGACTTCCTTTGGCTCTTCCTCTGAACTCAAATTGATTGTCTCCAACGGTTCTTTATACGGCTGAATGGCACTTTCCTCGCACTCGAGCAACCGTGAAACCTCTTCTGGAATTTCATCATATTCTTCTTCTTCGGCTCCATACACAGAATATTCAAAGTTGGGAGAGGGTGCAGGGTCATTGTATTCAACAGGTTTTTTAATTAATCTGCACATATGATTTATGATTTATTTTAGAAACTGACACATATATCAAGTGATTATGCATATTTATTTTCAGTTATTATTTATTCCAAAAGGGTTTTTTCTGATTACACTACAACATTTGTTGTCTCTGGCAACACTTTTTTAGGTAACATGTAGAAATTGTTGCCTTAAATTCATATAGGCAACGATTTACGATTGTTGTCAAAAATATGTTTGTAACCCTTGATAATCGTCACCTAAAATACTTTTGGGGACGTTTATGGAGCGATACTCTTTTATTTTTTTGCCAACGGTTGTTAATTATGCCCTTAACTGCTTTTGGGGACGATTTTAGAGCGTTAAAATATTATTTCTTTAGCAATGTTTGACAATTGTCCCCTAAAATATTTTTGGGGACATTTTTAGATTGTTACATTACTTCTAATAAAAGGCTACATTTCTGAAATATTGTATAAATTTTAATTAAACAGAAAATAAAAAATTATATATATATATATAATATATATATATATATATATATATA